AGGACTGTTGATAAATGATGGAGAGTGGCTTGGCAAGCTCCCCTGCCAGCTCCCTCAGTGCTCTCGGGTGGATCCCATCTGGCCCCATGGACTTGTGCGTGTCCAGGTGGTGTAGCAGGTCATTAACTGTCCTCCTGAATTGTGGGAAGGCTGTCCTGATCATTGTCCCTGCCTGCCAGCTCAGGGAGTTGTATGTCCTGAGGATAACTAGTCTGACTATTGAAGACTGAGGCAAAGAAGGCATTAAGCACCTCACCTTTTTCCTCATCCTTGGTGATAATGTTCCCTCCTGCATCCAACAAGGGATGGAGACTCTCCAAATTATTAACCTCATTGGCCACCCATGTGCTTGTACAAGCTTTAATTTGCTTCATACCTTGTATTTCATAAATTAAGTGGTATTTCAGTTCATTTCTTTACAGGGCTTTGTCCTCTAGTACTACATAATTTTTATTGCCGTCTGTAGGTCATACTCATATCTCAGTGAGTGATATTGTTTCTTATTCAGATACTTTCTTCTGCCTCTTGAAAGACGGTCATGTTCTGTTGCCTCTTGAATTCTTATTTCTGAGACATTATAAATGCAACCTTGAGAAGAGAGCAGTGCATAAATACTGGAGAAATGTTTGCTGCATTTTTCTCCAAGTTCTTAGTTTGGAAGGAACCAGCACTGTTGGACATGGAAATCTCTTCTGTAAGGAGACCTACAGCTGCATTTTTTCGGGGATGACTTTTATGCATTAGTACATTGGTGTGTTTTAGAAGATAATGAACATTCAGATTGGCAAGCTATCATTTGGCGAGATAAGACACCTTTTCTGGTCAGCTGTCTGCTTGCCCTGCAGTGCAGAGCAAGAAGGAATGAGGATAGCTCTGCTATCAGGCAGCAGGAGATTGCCAGTCGTTGCTGCTGATATTGCTTCTGTCCCACAGCCTGACTTGACCACACAACACCTGTAATGCTGGCTTTGGGTAGAGGGCACAGAGAGTTGCTTTGAATTAGTTTGGAGTTTGCTGAAGTGTTTGCAATTTTGAATATTGGCAATGAGGTTCTGCACATCTGATCCATTATGGGTTTGGTTTTTGTTTGGTTTCTCTTCTGAGAGAATCGTATAGTGCGTAGTGAAGAACAGAGGGAAGCTTCTTAGTATTCACAATGAGTTTGCATTGTAAATTTGTATCTAGTGGCTAGGTAGAAAAAAATATTGCCCTAAGTTAATGTTAATTTTAGGACTTAGGCATTTGATGTAGCAGCTTTCAGCCTGATGCATTTCAAACAATTGAAGAGGATAGCTTCCACAACAGAGAGCAAGTAGTTTTTATACATGCGTTGTTTGCTGTCCCACTGCCAGACTGCTGTTTAGCTTCACAAACAGTGCTCTGTACACAAATCCTTTGAGAAAAAGTTTTCTTTAGGTGTCTTAATTATTAGAAGTCCAAGTTTTTATTTCCTATTTACCTACCTTGAATATTTAAAGTTGATGTGAAGGACATGTAATAGTTGGAGAGGAGCTAAATAGCAGGATCAGGATTCAGTCATCTTGTAGACTGTTTCTCTGCTATGCTCACTCAGAAGCCAGCTCTGAAAGAAAAGTTCTATTTTGTGTTCAGATTATTTTTTTAAAAAATTGGAAGTTTTGTGTAAGATTTGCATTAAGAACTGTTTTTGGTTTTATTTTAAATCTGGTTCTCCCCGATGTGTTAACAAGATCATACATAGAGGGATGTAATTATCAAAGAGAAATAACTGATTTTTTAAATTTAGGTTATTGGTGTAAGTTAACAGAGCACTTGCACACTTACTTACGGATCAAGACACAGTGTTAAGTGGTGCCCTGAAAAAAGACCACTTTTCCTGGAAGGAATTAAGGAATGTTGACTGTGGCTCGCTTATAAACCTAAGTGAATGATGCATTAACAGCTGGTTCTGAAAACATTTTATAAAACTGTTACTTGCTCAGTACAGTTGTATTTTCTAAAAACAACAGCTACTTATTTATTACCCAATTATATACAAAAGTTGAACTCAATGAGTTTCTTTACTCATGGTTGAATTAACTTATTGCTAAGCTTGTTAACTGTGCTTTTTCCTTTCCTTGATCTGATGTAATTGCTGTTAGAAGGTCATGCAAAAAGAAACTTAAAATGCACCAGTTCTTAAACCTGGTTGTCCCCATTCCGTCTACAATGCAATCAGAAAATAAAATCTGTAAACACAAGCTGTTGATATCTTAGTGCAATTGCAACAGTTCTTTAGAATTTGTTCTTTCTTTTTTTTTAATGGTTACTGACTTTGTAAGCCCTTTGACTATAATAACAACTCTGGTTCATAAGTATGTGTATTTCAAAAGCACCAGCAAACCAAATACTCTGAGTAACGCGCTAGTGGCTGGAAGTTACTGAGTGAGTGGAAAGTGTTGGACATAGAAACCAATTCTGCAGTATACTGTTCCTCAGAGAAAGTTATTATTCAAGATATCTGTGACAGTAGCTTTAACTTTTAAAGCAGTGAGAATACAGACATTTTGTTAGGTCAGGCAGAGTTCTTTTGTCAGTTACTATTTTACTCAGCTTGGGTATTACAGGAAGGTTTTGTGTTTGCTTGATCTGCTTTTTTTGCCTCAAGAATGGAGAGGGTGGTTTTTTATTTCCCTTTAATAAGTCAGCGTGATTGCATTTTGGTGTGAAGGTCTTAAAGTTTTCTATGAGAACAAGCATTTAGAAATGCATAGTGTGTGAAGTACTTTTGTTTCAGCCTCGGTTTTAGCAGTATGACGTGTTTTTCAGTCTGAGATTTTTTTCAAAGAACTGGAGAGATGTAAGTGCCCAAATCCCGTTTGAATTTGGTATTCTCTTACTTTTCCTGTAGACTCATGTACGTACTGCCGAGCATTGCAACAAGATACAAGAATCAGAAGGGACTGTATTCAGATGTGTGCGCTGCCAATACAAAAACTGGCAGAGAATAGTATCTGCCGGATCATGGCAGATGCGTTGTACAATAGTTCACGTATACTGTAGTGTTCCTTGTATTCTTTTCAACCTGTTCTGATGATTTACAGCTATGCCATCTGCTTAGGATTTTTTTTGGAGTTACCTGTTTGTAAGTAATTCCTTGTTTGAAAGGTGGGTTGGGGAAAGTGCAGGGAAGCAAAAGGGAATGCAGGCTGTAAATCAGAATAATGTATTGGTGGTAGGTATTTGATAGGATGCAGTGAGTTGATGTTTCTTTTAGCTCTGAGGGAAGAGAATTGCATCCATTTTACTGTGACTCTCCTGTATTGCAAGATTCAAAATCATTGCTGCATTTTGGGGGCAAAATCTAGGGTACTGTTAAGTAAACTAAAACAGATCACACCAAGAGAATTTGTGGAGCAGAGTTATATGTAGTCTTGGAATACTTCATATGAATGTCAGAGTAAACTGAAAATCTTTTTATTTAAAGTGGTACTTCTTTTAGGATTTCACATGTCTAGGTACTATTAAATAAAGAAATATATTCCAAAAGAGTAAGTAAAAAAAAAACCGCATTCTGATGATATTTTTGTTGGTTTTATTTTATAGTAGGCCATGGCTGTCAAAGGAATAAAGGGTTGGAAGGTCCCACCCAGAAGGCTCTTTGGGAAGCCAGGCAGCAAAAAGTCATTGATACTGAAAGGTCTTCATATGATCCAAAGATGCAGAGAAGACGACAGGCAAGAGATATCCAAAGGTATGCAGCCTTCTTTCCAGTTGCTCAGTATCTAATCCAAAGTACAGTTTAAGCTTGTGCTAAATTGTTGTGAAAGATACTTGTCCAACATAACTGAAGGAAGTCATACTTAGTAAAAGTAAATAGGACAGGTAGGTAACAAGTTTTTTGGTTTTAATGAGTTTCTATTGCATTGAATTTTTTCAGGGAATAATAGGAACTCTGAGTTCAAGAAAGCAAGCTACTTTTTGGGAGTCTGATGTAATCACCCTGCAGAGGAAGAGCACTGGCTGTAAATACTTGTTGTTCTGTTATGGTTTTTTTTGTAATTGGAGGAATTCTGACCTACTCCATACTGTTTGAAAACTTCTCAAGCATTTCAACCTGTTTCAGCTGGGTCTAAAAGGTATAACATCTGTGAGACTAAGGGTGACTTCCTAACAGTCAATAAAAGTTTCTAAACTTGAGTATAACAAAGGTGTGTCACTGTTTCAGTTTGTAAGTTGTGCAAAATCTAAATTAATTCCTGATTGAGTTTTTTTGTTGTTGTTGAAAGGAATTTCTCTTCTTTATTCTACTTGATTTATTTTTTGAGGTTGCATTTTGGGACTATATAACAGTGCTTTTTATTTTACAAAATCAAGTAAATGTTCCAATATCTAAAATTTCTTAAGCTCTTAAAATTGTTACGCTGGCTTATTTTTGTTTGAGAAACACAGAGTTTAAACTGTGTTTTCTGAGAAGGAAAAAAAGCTCTGGTTTACATTGATATAGTCAGAATCAGCTTCAGTCTTTCCTTTCCATGTCTCCACAAGAATATGTCCATGGTGATTTATCTTTTGCGTGTTTTTATCTGTTTCTGCAAGGGTATTTCTTCCATCTGATGCTGGCAATGCACCTCTCCTCTGACAGACATACCATTTTATTTCTGTTTTCATCCCTTTTCATTCTCTTGAGCCTCCAAATACAATATTCTGTTGCTTTCTGAAACACTTCTCACCACATACTGGCAATAATTCTCTATACTGTCTCCCTACTTATTAGTATCTGAGTATTGCTGATGGACCTGCCCGTCAGTCCATCTCCACTTTTCCTGTTCTTCATTCAGGAAACGTCCATCTTAGACTCTTACAGGTATCTCTTCTTTTCATTTTGACTTGTGGGCAGATGAGTATTTCTTATCTTTTTGTTCCTGTTTCTACTGAAGTCATCAGGATTTTTATAGTAAACTTCACAGGTGTTATGTTTCACCCCTGGAATATTTAAGTTCAACACAGGTAGTGTGCCAATCTGGCTCTTACTCTTTCAAATTTGTAAGTGCTGTTAGTTAACTGGTTCTGGCAAGCATCTGTGTTTCTACACATCTTATGTTTCCCAAATGAGTCCTACTGGAGGCCCTGAAGTCTTTATGTAATCAATGGATTAGAAAACTGGAGTAGCTCTAGAAATAAGACATCAGAAAATATAGGCATGTTTGAATGTACTGGATTTTACCATGGCTAAGCAATAATCTAAAACTTTAGGTGTGAGACTAACATACTTTCCAATGATAGAACAATACCTTTTTCACTTCACATTTCCTGGATCTATTATTTTTAAAAATTTCCTTTCCCCTAACGAAGAATACTACTGTGTATAGCACATGTGAACTCTCATATTTCTTAGGCTGTTAGAAATAAATGAATTAGAGGGAACGATGAGTGCAAAGGGTGAAGGGGTGAGTTAAAAATGTGCTTAAAACCAAGATACAGAACTTTCCTGTAGTGCACATTTATTAAACTACAGTTCTAATCTAAGGGGATTTTTTAGACTAGTGCATTCCTACTCAATAGTTTAGTTGTCTGAGTATCTGTTCCAGTCAAAAGGATTAGGTATAAATAAGTGCCTTGCCTTCCTTAGATCATTTTATGTGATATTTGGAATCAAACCTCTGTGTGTTACCTCATGTCCTTTCACCTATATCAAAAGCTCTTTTAAATTTTGCCATATCTTATGTGAACTATATTTTTGTTTATGATTATTCCACATAGCAATGTCTTTATTGAGGTGTACCATAAATAATAGTCTTGTTCTCATTTACAATAATGAAAATAACACTTTAAATGTTGTTTTGAGGGGGGTAAAATTGACTTACACATCTTCAGATGAAGACTACGCTTCATTTAACTTCTCTTTATACCACAAAAGAAGAGTCACAGCATAAATTGGTCAGTTTCATGGAATTCAGGTGAGGAATATGTAGAAGAAATAAATGCAATTAAAAGTCCTGTATTCAAACAGTGCATTCATGACAAAATAGAGAAAAAGAAAACAGGGGAAATCTTGGTAAAATTCACTGTCAAGTATGGCGTTTAGCTCTTTTCAGTAAATGTAAATGAACATTTAAAGCTTACAAAAGTTCAGAGTGAACAGTTTACCCAATTTTTAAAGTTACGCATTTGGATTATATCATGTTCAGTGAAAAGCAAATATATTGCCATGAAATTGTATCCTTGAGAAAAAATTATAAATGTTTGTATTAACTGTACTTGTTACACAGGAGTGAACTATGGTGATGATTTAAAATCTTGTCTGTGTCTTGTAGCTAAATAGTGATCTAACAAATGCCTGTGCTTACTTTTAAGTAGATGCAAATAGGACTTATAGCTGAGCTAGAACATTTACCTCAAGGACAGACATATATTGTGTTGTTATAATATCCTGTAAAAGCTGACACATAAGGTAAAACCTAAGGTCCCTTTGAGATGAAGTTTATCACTGAAACAGTGAAAAAGCAACTGGAATTTTTCTGAGAGAGAATGTATTCTCCTGATTTAGAAATCTTTGTTACAAGACTCAATTAAATTATCCAGTAACAGGCAATTAGGCTAAACTGTTTACATATCTAGCCCTTAATTAGCCAGTATCAATAGCATAAATATTCTTAGATTAAGAATGTGCATAGAGCACTGCTTTAACATTTAAATTAATTAAAATGTGCTCACAGGTCATTAAAATTGTAGAGAAGTTTTGATAATGTGATTTTCACTATCCTGTTGAAATATATTTTTACTATTTTTATTCTCTCAAGTTCTTCACAGCATACTTTATGTGATAACTTGTATTAGTTATTCGCAGGGTGATTGCAGCTTCTTTATGTTTGGTAAATTCTGTTTCCACATGTAATGGCCTACAATGCGATTTCATTTTCTGAAGTTTTATTTTGTGTACAACTGTATCAAAAGGTGCATTGGACATTTCTGGGGTTGAGGTATTATCTGTTTCTGTGGAACAGATTTTGAAATTATGGCCAATGGTATATTGAAAAAATACAGATCTAAAATCCAATGATCACACAAACATAATAGCTTTTGTAATTAATAAGGCTTTGAGTCAAAATGTCACATGTATACTTGTATAAAACGAAGTTTCTCCTCAGTTCTGTGGAAAAAAGTGTACAAAATTTAGAAGAACTACTGGTTCTGTGCTCTCAAACAGAAGGGAAGCTAAACCCAAATGATTACTTATATTCAACTTCAATAATCTGAATAAATTAGCCCAGGCATACTGGGACAGGATTGGAAAGATGAAGTCCCAAAATAGTTAGGAAGGGTCGTAAATGAAATAGGCAATCATTCTGTGTTTGTAGTAAGGTTACTAAGAAAGCACTGAGTTGATATTCAGTAGAGAAAAGATGACTGACAGGTAATACTCAGAATACTTATTTCTACAGTCCTTCACTGGTACAGTAAAACTGCAGACAGCTAAGAAAATTAATACCAGTTACAAAGATATAAGATTGCAGTCTAGAGAAGAGAAAATACAATGTCTGTATTTTGAATTAGGTAAGAAGTAAAAGCTAGGAAATTATAGACTAGACAGTATAACTTAAATTCCCAATCAAATTTGTAGTGAATAAATGAAATTTTATTGAACATCTGGAAGAAACCAGGAAAAGAACTAACAGTGAAAATGAATTTGCAAGGAAAATACTGTTTAATCCAGTCTAAATTGCATTTATAACAGCAAAAGAGGTCTCATGGATAGAAGAGGACAGTGTAAATGTTGTAACTTATTATTGTTTGTTTGTTTTTTGGGGTTTTTTTTTTGTTTGGTGTGTTTTTTTGTTTTTTGGTTTTTTTTTTTTTTTTTTAATAAGGCTTTGGATACTGTCTTGCAGATCATTCCTTTTAGCAGCTGTGGAAATCTGGCCTGACAGAAACTTTCCTAAATTAATAGAAAAGAGATTGGAAGCATGCAGATATATTAAATAAGCTTGTGCTGGGATGTCTTCATTAGTGATCTGGAAAGTGGAACAGAAAATACTCTGACTAAACTTGCAGACCAAGTGATCCAGGTTTGGTGGGGGTGGAACAGCAACTGAGGATGTGGGTACAATTCAAAAGTTGACCTATTGGAGAATTGATCTAAAGAAATAACATGCCATGTAAGAAAAGGTACATTTAAAAAAATGATTGAATGTACAAATACAGAACAAGAAGATAAGAAACAGTTGATCAAATAGCTTTTATTTGGAATAAGCTCTAGGGTTTGTATAAAACAAGCCTGGCATGAGTCAACAATGACATGATACTGCAAAATAGCTGAACACTGTACTGCAGTGTAAACCAGGAATATTGTATGGAAGCTGTGGAATATTCCTCTTGCTTTTTTTCAGTTGGCATGGAGCTTTGGCTGCAGTATTGTGTTCAATTTGATCATAGCTCTTCAGGCGACAAGTGGAGCATCTATAATAGAGCAATAAGAATAACTGAAAGTCTATGAAACATAACTGTCAAAGAAAAGGAGAAAAGTGAAGTTATGTAGTCTACAGAAAAGAATGCTAAGGGTTAGACAGGATACATCCTTAAAATCTAAGAGAATTCTGAGTAAAAAAACCCAACAAAATGACCTGTTAGAAGAAGACATAATAAAATAGAAATCCAGTAAGAAAGATTCAGATTACATATTAAACAAAATTTATGGTAGTAAATACAGTGAAGCACTGGAATAAATTGTCTAGGGAGTTTGCTTTACTGGAA